TTAGTTGATTCTAATAGCTTTTAATACTTGTAATATTCAAAATTATTATTCAATTACTAGTGATAGTAACTTGATTCTTATTTTTAGTAAATATAATTATGATAGTTATTCTATTAATTCAACTTGTACTTGTTATTCTGATTATAAGAAGTTAATTTATGATCTTTATAATCAGATCAGCTTTCTTTATTCTATAATTCATTCTTAATAATCTGTGATTGAGTTACTTAGTCATAGTTTTTAGTTTATAAATACTGATTATTTATCTAATAATTATGATTTTTTGAATTTATTTGATTCTGATTTAATAGATATTATATTAAGTTTTTCTGATAATAATCTTCTAATTAATTGATTAATTCTAATAATTAATATTATTGATATTGATTCATCTATTATTTCTTCTAATATTGATTAATTATTTCTTTTTTCTAATAATTATAATATAAGTTTTAGTTTTATTATTATTTCTATTAGTTATTATATAATTATTATTATTATTTTCTTTTCTGGTCTATATTTATCATATTATTTAATTCATTTTCTTTTTTCATCTTTATATATTATTTAGAATATTGAAATTATTAATAATAATTTGAAATAATTCTTTCTGATCTTGTATTATTTTTCATAATTTTTATAATTTATTATTATTATTAATCATTATTTTTTTAAAAGAAATATATTTATCTTATAAGATATTATTTTCATATTTATTATAATAAAGCTAATTTTTAATAATAATTAAGTTTATTATTTTACATAGTTTATAGTAATGATAATATATAATTGATGAATCATTTGATAACTTTTTATTGTAGAATTTCTATATATTATTAATTTTATCTTGTATTTTATTGATTATTAGTTAGATATAATATCAGATTATTAATTCAGATTATTAGTCATATTAAATTTTATATATATATATTTATTAATTAATTATTTTTTAGTATAAAATTAAATATAAAAAATAATAAGTATTTATTAAGATTATATTAAATAATATATTATTTATGAGATTAAGAATATTCAAAGTGTCACTTAATATCATATTCTTGCTAATAAATATTATTACAATAACTTGCTTAATATATTTCAAGTTAAATTTCATAATAATTTATCCAATATACTTTAAGTTAAAGTAAGTGAATCTTATAATAGCTCACTTAATATACAAGATCAAGTTGAAATAAGCAAATTCACAATAAATAAGATATTATCTAATTTTATCATAGTTATATTTTTATCAAATTATAATTATTTTTCTTTTAAAATTTGATAACTTTTATTATGTATTATAGAAGAAGATTTTTTAATTAATAATTTTGAAGTGAATTTTTTTGTAAATATTAATAGTATTAAAAATATATAGTAATAATTTGTTAAATTCAAAGAATTATCAAGAATGATAATATTTAAAACAAAAAATTATCAAGTTACAAGAAAAAAGATTATTTTTTAAAAACTATATTATTATATTTATAGTAATAATATAAAATAAAAATAGGAAAATTCTATATTAAAAAGATCTTATTTATTATAAGTCAGAAATATTAAATATATAATAATTATTTATCTTTGACTTGAATATTAGTATTTTTAAATAACTCATCTACTTGAAGTTTATATTAAATTTACTCATAATTATATTATTTATTTTGCAAAATCTCTTAGCTTTTGGCAAGTTAAAGATGATATTTGTAATAAATATATATAACTATTTTATAATAGATATTTATTAGTATTGATTATATATATTTATAAAGATAATTTATATTTAAATGCAAATACTAATTATAAACTCATATAACTTTTGACTAATTATATATATAATCTTAATTATAACTATATCTCAAATTTATTTAAATAATATCATAATAAATAACTTAGAAAAAAAAATAATATATTAATATTTTAAAGATTTATAAATAAAATTAGTACTTATAATAACTCTGAATTTGATCATGTTGCTTTTCAAGTATATAACTTAAGTTCAGAATAAGTTCTTATTCTTTATATAGTAACAAATTTAATATATCAAATTTATAAAAAAATTTAGCAAGTAAGAGAGCTTTATTATATAGATATATTAGCTTTCTTTGAGTTACTAAATATATCAATTACTTTATTTTATATAAGTTATATAATAGATACACTATCTCTTAGTCTTTTCATGATATTTAATAAACTAAAAATTACTCTTGAGAAGAAAATGAATATGCTAAAAACTTTTCTTTTATAATATATTTTCTTTAATTATAATCCTAATATTAGTTTAATAATCTTTTTAATAAATAATTTAAGTATAAAATGAAATATATTAGAGATTTGTTAGCTAAAATTAATATAACTTCTATATATATTTTATATTCTTCAAGTATTTTGATATTGGTTATATCATATCAAATATTATATTAATAAAGATTATTATGTATTTATTATAAAAATAATAAAGAAAATTTTATATACAAAAATAGAAATCAAAATGCTAAATTATTATCATAATTTAAAAGTTAATTACTATTCTATATATTTATTATTACAAAAATATTTTGAATTACTTTGAAATTGATGATAATTTTAGATAATATTATTTTATTCTGATCTTTTTCTACATGATAATAATATAAATAATTGTATAGAGTATAGCTTTGAATTACTTAAAGATATTATATTTTTATATGCTTAAGTATATAATACTATTTAAGTATTTCATTTTATAATTATAAATATAAATCACTTTTATGAATACCATTTGCTAGAAATTATAAATAAATATTCCAGTTATCTTTAAATTATCAAGCAATTTTTATATTTAGATTAGAAGATAATTAATATATCAGAAATCTAATAAATAAAAATACATACTGAATATTTGATTCTGAATTAACAGAAGAATTCTAAATTATTTTATACTGTTAATATAAAAATTAATATATATACTTATTCCATTAGATTATTTGAAGTATCATGTAAGTATCAAAATACTATAATTATAAAATTTTATATTGAATCATTAAACTTTATTCTATCTTTAACTTCTAATGATTACTTTAATTATATGTATATTATGTATAATAAGTTCTAATTACTTTTTTTCTTTTATTTATTTAAATTTAATATTTTTTTTAGAGATTACTTCTGAGAATTATTCTTTTTATGCATCATTATATTCTTAATATAGTAAGTTTAGTTTTTTTATTTTTATCTAACTTAATAATTTTTTAGGAATTATTTTTGAGAATTATTCTTTTTATATACTATTATATATATGTACTTTATTAATCATAATTTAAATTTAATTATCTCTTATAAAGTGTTCAAAACTCTTATAAAATTTAAAATGAAATTCAAAACTCTCACAAAGTTCAAAATTCTCATTATATTTAAAATTCTCATAATATTATTCAAAAGTTACAATTTAATAAGATAGCTTTAAAGAATAAATATATTTACTTTAAGTTCATTTTTTATTTATTATTTTAATTAACTATTTTTTTTAATTAGATTTAATATAATACATAAAGATAATTTTGCATCTTTTGAATTATTTATCAAGATAATTAAAAATAATTACAAGAATAATAATTCAAATTTTTCTATTATTCTTAATAAATTTGCTAAGTGATATAATGCAGCAAAAGCTATATTTAATTCATGATTAATATCTTTTCTCTATAATATTAATCATGATATTGATTCTTGTACTCATGTTAAAAGTGATACAAAAATTTATATGCAGGTTGAATCAGTAAAATGACAAAAAATAGCAGGATCTAGCAGTATAAAAAGAAGACTTTCTGATTATATAGAAAAAGAAAATAGTAATTCATTTGCTATTTTAACATGAAAGATTTGGAAAGTTAACAAAAAAGAACATAATCTAGGTTAAAATATTGATAAAAATCAATTGAATTAACAAATTTATGTAATATATTGGATTTTGTATTGACTTATTATTATTGTTTGACTATTATCTCATTAAAATAGTTCATTTGTAAATATGTAGAACAAATTGTTTGCATGATATTAATATACTTAATTGTTTAATAATTAATCTGATTAATTATATCTTTGTTAACAATGATCTCTTTGTTAACAAAGATCTTTTCATTAATAATGGTATTAATTATTTTACAATTGATCAATACAAATGTATAGATTTCTATTTAGCATCTCTAAACTAATAACCCCTCTCCCTTTTTGCCAATTCAACATTATTAACCATAACCTGGCAAATTTAGAAATGTTTTTGGTACTGCCGTATTGCACGAGCCAATGTGGGATTCGCTTATTTTGGCTTGAAGTGTGTTGAGCGAGTTATTGTGGTAACATTCCTTGACAAGAACGTGACATTGAGTGGCGCTTTAAACGTTCTTAACCTCACAAACAATACATTATTCAATATGAACACTTACCCATTTCTCGTGTTTAATTTTATGCTGAAAAACGATTGGCCAATATATACATATATACAAAATTTAGTGTGGGTAATAATCCGGGCTGATGATCGGACACCACATCCGACTAATAATCAACAAAACCTGGCACAGATTTCTGATGTGCTAAAGCCAGTCCCGATGACGTGTATTTAGAGAGGTCTGACTATATTTGGTTAATGTCTTAAGAATTACAACATAGATTTCTAGATCAACATCACAAAACAAAACTTATTCTAAACAAGTCTCAGATATTATTCATATAAATTGACGACTGTAGTTCACACAGCTATTATCGCTACTTGTGGGATTCTCAATATTAATATTGTTTGTATAAATAAAAATAGATCGACTTGAATATTTGATTTTCGAGGAATAGAGAATTGAAGGAAACTGTAGTCCTCTCTTTTGGTCTATTTCATAGATTACCATAATCTAATTTAAAATTCTACGTATCTTCTATCAGCATATACAATTTTTGCGTCCGAAGAAAAACCAAAATTGAAATTGCGAAAATCGTCATAATCATTAATTCGAAATATAATAATGATTACTTTATCAACTGTCTTCTGTACCCGGTTGTGGTAAAGCTTTCAAATTTTTTTGCTTTAAATATTTAGGATGCGCCACAAGCACACATTTAGAAACAGTGCATAGCGGCGCTATCGCCTCTTTATCAAGCAACTCGAAAAACGTGAGACCGGCTGCTCGTTCAATGACGTCCAATGGAACTTCGTGTCTTTGTAAAGGGACGTGATTCGGTATCGGCCTATTCGGAAGTATAAATGCGCCTAATGCGTATTTTTGGTTGTCCTTGGTTGCTAGAATCACTTTGAAAAAATGGTTCGGGACGGCGACGTTGTGTCCTTGACCAATTACTTCGTATTTAACGTACCATTTTCCGTCGTCTTCTTGTTTTGGTAGGTATAATGGACCAGAGAAGACATAGACATCTTTAAATCCTTCGTTTCTGACTAGACGACGACAAAACTCTTCCAAATGAGACCAATCTGTATATTATGTATTAAGTCTATGTGTTAAGAAAATTTCTAAGGTTATAATTCAAAAACTTTTAAGATATAGGTGAGATGCTTACAATCTCGATTGAATCCATCGCCAACCTAAGCATAAATCATGTTGAAGCGAGCCTCGAATTAAATAAAACATATGTCAAATAGTAATGTACAAAATACCTGAGGTGAGATATTCGTCAAGAAAAAAGTCTCATCCATTGCTTCCTGTGAAAATTTGACATCAGCAGCCGGGACCAAATGACCACGATCATACCCAGATCTAAAATAATCTTTCAACGTGGCTCGAAATTTCTCTGGGATATTGAAATCTTCACGGAATGTTGATTTTGTGCGTTCGACGCCATCACCCTGCGTAAGCGACTCATTCGTTATGTGCTCAGCTACCTAATAAAATTTTCATACGTCATTATTTTTTTAAAATTGCAAGTTCTCTTTATTAAAAATTGTTTTTTTAGTATTAATTACCCAGTTTGGATTGCGAAGCTGGCGGTTATATGAACTGATATATGCAGTTCTGTATAATGTGTCATTTATTGGTCCTTAATTGTGATAATGTTATCATAAAGTCGGTTCAACGTATGCAAGGACTATTTTATATCTTAACTAATTTAATTGTATTAATGTTGCATTTGCTTACCACCACTCACCAGCGAAACCAAACGGCAAAATAGATTCTTTAGCAGCGCGGATTTTTTGTGCTAAAGGAATTGTAGGAGACGGAGTCACAGGTGGTGGTTGAGGAGTAGTAATAGGTTTTATCGCCGAGCCTTGCTTTTTTTGTTGGTGTTGTTGGTATAGGTCGTGGTAAGCGACCGCAATAAATGCACCCAAGGCACCTAGAGTTGCGAAAACGACGCGTTCTAGCGTTTTTCGTGACATGATATACTAGTATAAGTTAAAATTTTTTTCGGATGATCCGAATTAGCGTTTCAAGCCGGTAATGAATAGCCAGCGCGAATGCAACTAATAATCATGTAAAGTTTCCTTATTTAGCATATACTTTATAGCGGAGGGGTCAAAGAATCGCAATTATTTACGGAAAGAATTAGCTGACTGAATCAGCTAGCCGACTATGTGCCGGCGCATTCTAGTCAGCTTTAAACATTAATCCGAATAGTTGAATTTTCGGATGATTCGGGTAATCAATTATTCGATTGTATAAAAAATTTAACTATCCGGATCATCCAGATAATGATAATCAATTACCTATTTGATTATAGTCGGATTGAACAACTTCACAGCGCGTAGTGGTAGATAATAAATTGATTTAGCTCATACAGAATAATTAAAGATAAAATGCCTAACGAACTTAGTCATCCTTATCGTATTCCAGAAGTTACCGTTCAATCAGACTGGGTAGAAGTTGTCTCTGATGTTGCGCGAAGAGTTGTGGGTTCAGAGTCGTTCTGGGTGTCTTGCTACAAAAAAGGTTGATAACTTGTATTTTGATTTGCTATTAAGCTTTCTTTCGTGAAACTACGCGTTTTTAAAAGTGACTTTTTGTGCGTATATTTCTTTTATGGATAGGTGCTGTTTCTGTTCACGGTTCAGTGAAGGTGCTCAACGTTTCTGACGACCCGTCGAGTGTTGAGTTTATTGGAAAGGACGGTGTGGACGTTGAAAAGATTGATAATGTTTGTGTGCATTAATTTTATATTACTAAGTGTTGTGAGTTTTTATTTAACCTCATCTTTTTATAATTGATAGTATTCATTTTATTTATCGTGTAATGCAATGGAACTTAGTCGAGTTATTATTAAAGGAGCGAAATCAACACTTAAAAACATTCATGAGACAAAAATGGTAATCTACATCATTTTTCTTTTTACTTGTGTTTAACTTGAAGCCTCTTTTTATATTTACGATAAATATTAAAATTTGAGATTTGGGCCTTTTAATCGTTGCTCATAGATAACCGCAATGGATATTTCACCTGGTGGCCGATTATTCGTGACTGGTGATAATAAGGGAATACTTAAAGTTGGTGATACGAGTGATGGTAGTGTGAGAGTATGTATTTGTCTATTATTATTATTCTTCTTGAAAATAAAATGAGTTTACTTTTGATTAATTTTTACTTTCACTTAAAATAAGAGAGAATTACTAGGCCATGTATTGGATATTTCTACGTGTCGCTTTTTCCCATCGGGACAAGGTAATCAATCTTACAATCTCTTCCCTTAGAAGACGCGAAAAATATATATATTATCTACATATACCCGATTTTTTAATTTACTTTCATCTGTGATTAACAAATCAAAATATTAGTAATTCTAAGTGGATCCGGTGATTTCCAATTACGAATCTGGTCCGCGCTGGATGGTAGTAACCCTGTCACGCTAAAAGGTCATATAAAAGGTGTTACTGATACTGCTATTATCGATCGTGGTAGAAACATTTTGTGTATGTAATTATTTTTATTATTGCAATCGCTTTATTTTGAATATTTGGGATTAATTAATAACTTCGATGATTGTATTTTAATTGATTGGCTTTATTTATTAGCTGCTTCGAGAGATGGGACAATAAAGTTATGGGATTGTGGTAATTAATAATTTATTCTAAATGATTTTTTTATTATTAATCACAATAATTTTATATGTGACAACAAATCAAGGTTCCTCAAGTACCCTAAGCACAATGGGACACTACGAATCTAGCGTTGACAAAATATCATTAGGAACATTCATACACGACCTGCCATACACCCGCAATTCAGACTACCAACTTGGTGCGTGAGAGCTTTTATTGATAAAGTTACACACAAGAAACCAAAAAAAGAATCTCGAAAAGTTAATTATTAACTTGAGATTCAGTTTTTTATTATTATGTATGACTGTGTCCACTTCACTGTCCTGATGACACAAAAATACAGATTCACGTGAAGTCGCGACGCAAGATAAAATAGTAGTTGGCGCGTTGGGTAGTGGAGCGGTGATTGGGATTGATTTACGAAGTAAAAAAGAGGTATGTTGTTTTTATAAATATTTTTTTTGTAATTTTGGTTAGCTATTAAATGGGCTAGCCACATGACAATAGCTTTCTACTTATTAAAAATTAAACTTATAGATTTTCTCGGCTGATTCCTATCGAAATGTATCATTATGTTCTTGTGCTTACTCACCCAATCGTAATTTAATTATTGCTGGATCTTCACAGGGTGTCATTGAATTGTTTGACATAAGAGATCTAAGGTAGCTTGAAAATCTTTGATTTTTTATGATGACGCTTACAGTAATATCAACAAAAATAATATTAATGATAATTTATCTTTAATTGCAGCAAGAATCTATCCACATTTCAACGTAATGAAGCGGCAGTAAACGATTTACTATTTATTGAGGGAAGTTCAGATTTTTTGGTTGCACAAGGTTTGAATTTATTTATTCACTTTTTTTATTTTTTTTTATTTTTTATTTTGATTTAATGAATGTAAAATTTGTTTACTCTCAGGAGATGGATCGGCATATCGAATATCTGGAATATCTATTACACAAGCCACACACGAGTACATTGGATTTGATATTGACCCAGTGTGCTCGATTCGTGCAATTGATAATGGACGAGAAGTTTATGCCGCGGGACGAGACGGATGTTTGCGAAATTATTAATATTGAATTTTATTCAACAGTATTTATTTATGTGTCGTATGTGTTTTTGGGTACACGAAGATGAGAGAGATAATCTTATGTTTTGTGTAATTTTATAAGGAATTAAATTGACTTGTTTGTTTAATTCTGTGACAGAAATGGAAGTAAAATAAATCTTTATATTTTTTAAGTGTTTATGAGGGAAAGAAATTTTCGCTTTTATAAGAAAAAATTAAATTATATTTGATATGTTCACAGTTTGTAACATCGATATAAATACGTATATTTATTCAATTAAAATAAGATGAAAATCATTTGGATTTATTTCACACTTTATTATAAATAGGCATTTGCCAATCAGGTTCGGGAGTGTATAGAACAACAAATAAGGTAATTTTAGTTTATGTACTTTAGCGGCATCAATATATCAAAAGAAATAATTCTTTTTTAATTAATTATACCAGTACCTTTTTCTATTTTATTTAAACAAATACATTGAACATTAAATAGTTGCATTAATATTACATATATGTGAAAAACTCAATTGTTGATCTCAAAATAAGTTAGTTATATAACTCTATCTATAAATAAAAACATGTGTAAAAACAGAATTCCCAATCTGGTTCTAATAGGGATGCAAATGTATTCACTATTATCAAAAGATGCCATTAGGTAATTTCGCGTCAAACCATTCAGGTGCTTCAACACCCAAAGCTTTTAAAATAATTGCCGCTGTATCCATATTAGTTACATTTCCCTCGATTATACCATTCTTTTGAATATTCGATCCAAGCACAGATAAAAACACCGACACCTCTTCCTTAGATTCACCACCATGCCCCTTATTAATTCCACCATGATCTGTCGTCATAATAACGAGTGAATCCTCGGTCCATCCCGCCTCATCAATCGCCTTCAATATCTGATTTATGCGTGCATCCATTTTTCGCAATTGTTTATTGTAATATTTACCACCCCATCCGTGTCCATGTCCGGTTTCGTCCACGTCCACCAAATGGATAGATAGTAATTTCACGTCAGAGTTTTCTTTCTTAATGTAGTCACAAGCATTTTTTACTACGTATCCATCATACGTGGAGTTGTTTAGACAACGATGTTTGAACCATAACCACCATTGTATGGGTTTTGATTCGTTAGTATCGGGCGCATAGCGGTACATTGGTACTGAAAGCTCAATTATTCCGGTGTTTACTGGTGCCCATGCAGCAAAAGAAGCAAGTTTCACTTGTTGCTCTTTACCAAATTTCTTTTCTAAAATCTTAAAGACACTTTCGAAACCATTAGTTTCATCATAAGCGCGTCCTGAATTCACTATGTCATTAGTTAACCCATGCTTTTTGGGAACCACGCCATGAAGGATCGAACCCCAATTCTCGGCACTGTTTGACGGAAGTTGTGCTCTCGCTTGGAATGAGTTCGTGCCATTTTCCCAAAACTTTTTGAAAGTGGAAAGCTCACCGGCATCTCTTAATTTCTTTGCGTATAACCCAAGGCCATCGAGTGCTAAAAGAATTACACGTTTGTATGGAAGGTCACCATGCTTGCCAGTGTGCGTATGCATTTCTGTCAATCGAGTTGTCCTTTTTTTAAGGCTGTATCACGTGATAATCGCCAATCCAATTGCAAAGATCAAAGCGTAATATACGACTTTGTATAAAAAAAATTTAATAACAGATGTATTTCTATCCTATGCCTTTTATATTTAATTCTAGTGATTTGATAGTACTACCAGATATTACTGCAGTATCCTAGAGGAGGATATTGAAAATAAGATCCTTTTTAAGGAGTACTGTCTGTAAATCGTTACATTTTGGGATGAATTCATTATCGTTATAATTTGAAAGTTAACAATGATGTGATTATTTTCAAATGTCGTTAAAAAACCCAGAAAAACCGGTCACCCCCTCTATAACCGTTCAACAATGCATCGAAAACCTTCGTGCGTATAAGCCACCACCTGATAAATTTATCTATAAAAATCGTGCTGCTGTATTAATACCGTTGATAATTAATCCTATTACCGGGGACCTCGATGTGCTTTTCATAAAACGTGCCGACAATTTGAAAAGTTTTCCGGGTGAAGCTGCATTCCCAGGAGGTACACTTGTTGTATGGTAATTTAAAAACAATTATTTATTAAAGGAATAATTATCTATAATTAAAAGGACGCATTGACCCCACGGACGAAAATTTATATATTACAGCGGTACATTGTAATAAATTTAAGAAAATTGGTCATTTTAAAGATCATTATTTCATTTATATACGTCTACATATATATATAGACAAGAGAGGCTGAAGAAGAAATTGGTCTAAAACGTTCAGATATTGAGCTGCTCTGTCAATTCCCACCTCTACTGTATGTATTCTCTAATTTTTCTTATGTTCTATTTTCTCGAACCAATTTTTCACCAGTCCATAAAACAATAATACAAAAGAACAAGCAATTTTCTCCTCGTCTCATCATTCGTCGCGTTAATAAAAAACCCAGCAGAATTCAAACCAACCCTCAATCCGCAAGAAGTCTCCCAAATTTTCATGGTTCCACTACGTCTTTTTATATCCAGAGAGATACATGACCATAAAGATGTTGATTGGGGAGGACAACCGTATCGAATACACATATTCAGATGGCAAAGTTGGACTATATTGGGTTTGACTTCTCATTTGATGAATAGCGTTGTTAAAGTAGCGTATCGTTTGAGTGAGTTGCCGTGGACAGAATATGCCCCTAATCAACTTGAAGATAGTCTTCTGATATTAGCTCTTAGACCGGAGATTAAGTTGATCTCAGAATCTAATATTTGATTGATATTAAGTCCCACAAAGTCACCCCCTAAATATGTGATTATAAATTAAAACTCTTATAAACACTTTCTTGACTATAAGTGGAAGGAAGAGGGGTATTTGTATAAACGGAAGTTTTGTATTACCTAATTATAGCATTATTACATCCGTGCACATTTGTTCAAGCAAAGGATAATAAATATGTACATCTAGAGGATAAAAATAGATTTAAAGATAACTTTTAAATTAAAATAAAAACTTACAGAGCAATTAAATAAATACCAATATTCTCAATTTTATATATACATAAATATATAAAAATAAACCTTTCAACGGCGAGATTCGCGATGAAACTGCTTTCGTGATTGTCTACGCGTCCCAGAGTTCCATACACGACCGAAATTCGGAACCCATTCTTTATCTGCAGAGCTAGATGCTAATGACAATTATCCCCGAAAAGATGAATTATGAATAAAAAACATGTATATGTTTTATAAATAGATGAATTGGTCACAAACCTCGATCAAAATCAGCGCCAACACGATTAGGATTAAGTTTTGCTTTTTTCTCGGCTTTTTGTGCTTTTAAAAATGCATCTAATGATGGTCCGATTTCTGGTAGTGGCGGATGGCTGGTAATAGACGACAAAGATGAAGATGGCACATTCTTACTATTACTTTTATTATCTTGCATCCAGGGAGGTACTAATAAATTTTTATATATACTTTGTAAAATGGAATTCGAGGCCAAAGTTCATAAATAAAAATAAAATGGCTTACTGCTTCCTTCCATGAATACATTACCCTCACCGGGTTTCAAAGGAGGAACCTTTATCCGTGTCAAATCTAGCAGAAAATAGAGATATTGTATTATAAACATCGTGTAATATTTCAATATTTTAATAAAGTTATATATATTAATAAACACTTACTGGCAGCAAAAAAATTATCAGCAATTCGAGGTTTTTTTGCTTTTCTTTCAATTTCATCCTCACTATCACTATTTATATCATAGTCTTGCTGATAATCGATAACCTCAGTTTTATTTTTACTTCCATTTGTGGTTGAAGAAATAGGAAAAGTCGCAGTGAAAGGCGTCGTAAAGACAATTTTATTATTAACATAATTTCCCTCCTGAAATCCCATATAGTGATCGTTAAAAATCCCATTATTTTGACCGATATTATCTAATAATATAATAATGAGATTAAATTATTTTTTGGAAAATGTGAAAAAAAATGAATAAGCCACATACATACCATTGTGATTCAACTCATTACTAGCGAGACTAATGTTAATATTGTTGTGATTAAATGAATTGTTACTAGTCGACATTAAGCTTTCATTTGTTAATTTACGTTTCCTATCCAATCTTGCAGTTTTTTCTTTCTCTTGCTGAGTGATTTCTGATTGTTTTGCTCGCATTAATTTTTGGAACTAGACAAATTTATAGAACAAAAATTGATAAATTTGTCACAAAGTTACTTAAAGAAACTTAATAATATACCTGATCCATATTTGCTTTCTTTAACATAAACTCGCCAATCAATTTACGATCTACATTATTTTTTTTGAACCATTCGTTAACGTTCATGTGGTGTTGTTTTGTGGCCAAATGCTCGAAAATATGAATGCTTGTATAAATAGATATTAAATCATAAAAAACGAGTGAACAAGAAAAATATTTAATTAAACATGATTACTAATTAACGTATATTTACCAAACAAATTGCGATTCGTCAACATTACCAAGTTCAGTTTCAGCACTAACGATAGGTTTCGGCTTCACTTCAACTTCACAAAACAAGCAGGCAAAGTCTGGTTGTTTATTAATGTCTTGCACTAGAGTTAAATCCCTTAAGAATATTTTGTATTTGCGATAATTCTATGCAAGTTAAAAATTTGATTAACATATAATATATAAATAACATATTAAGAATGACTTTTCTATGCTATATACACTCTGTTGATCTTCCAAGACTTTTTTCAATCGTTCCTGGTGACTTTTCGTGTAAAAGTGTCGTCTGCCTTCACCGTTATTGCGTTTACATACTTGGCAGAATTCGTAAGGCATAGGAAATAAAAATAAATCGGTTAATGTTACAAAATTTTGTGATGTTAAATATTTTACTTTCAATGTCATGTGGAATGCTATTGGATAGATATTAAGATATCTTTGTAAAATAAATCTAATAGAGCTCTAGAATATTTATCTTGTTAATAAACTATTATTATATCTTTATTAAATTATGCTCTTGTATTCTAACTAGTCACGTATTAAATATTGCTGTTATCTATTTTTAAATAAAGCTTTAATAAATCTTAGTTATAACTTTATATTTAGAAATACTCTTGTTAATATACTTTATTCTTAAGACTCTTTCAGAATTATTATAAACTCTTTTACTTTAGTTATTTTGTATTATAATTATGTAATTATTAATATTATATGATAATTTAGAATTTAAAATTAGTAATAAAGTATTTATATTAAAAAGTTAATAAATTATAGAGAAAATAATAATTGAAAAAATATTGAATTAAGTTCAAGATATTTATTTAGATTATAATATTATATTATATAATCTAATTAAAATTATTATATATCTCTACTTAAAATATAATATTTTTATTATATTCAAGTATATAATTTTTCAAAGACTTTTTATCTTTTTCATAATATTTTTCAAATTATCAAGAGATTTTTAGATTGTATTATAAAAAGAATATTTAAGCTATTTGACAAGATATTATTACCATTTTAAGCTTATACGTATATAAGTATTTTAAAATAGTAATAGTGACTATGTTTATGATAATTATTTACTTTTATAGTTTCAAGAGATTATATGATTGACTATCTTCTTAATAAGATAATATATGCAAGATTTATTTCTGATAAAATATGATTATTTTCTCAATAAGATAATTTATA